CTCTTTGTACATAAATATATCCAAACACTGCACCGCCCTTACTTGTCATCAGCAAAACCAGCTCCCTGAAACACACATAAATCCCTCCCTTTCCCCTGCCACACGCCCCCTGGCCCGCCCTTCCCTCCGCCCACTGACCTGCAACGACACGATGTGCCCTCTGAGGTGCCTGAAGCGGTGCGACACGACCCGGGAGCGGATGAGGGCCTGTAGCCGCATGTAGCCGACGCGCATGTGCTGGTAGCGGCGTTTCTGCGCGAACGTGCGGTAGTGCTTCTGGATGATGATGGCACTCTCGCGCATCTTCTGGAATCTGGGGGAAAAGGGGGGGAAATGAGAGGGGGGTTATGGTGGGGTCGGTTGGTTATTATTGTTTTCGTGCTCTCGCTCGATCTTGTTCTCTTTCTTTCTTTTTCTTTCTATTTTCCTTTTTTTTTCATTTCTCTCTCTCTCTCTCTCTCTCTCTCTCTCTCTCTCTCTCTCTCTCTCTCTCTCTCTCTCTCTCTCTCTCTCTCTTCTCCCTCCCTTCTTCCCTCCCTTCTTCCCTCCCTTCTTCCCTCCCTCCTTCTCTCCCTCCCTCCTTCTCTCCTTCCCTCCATCCTCACCTCCTCCTGTAGTACCACCCCCTCACGCAGCGCTGTAGGATAGTAATCTTCTTGGTGAGGACTCGATCCCTCTCCTGCTCGAGGAACAGGTCGTGGGCGTCCTTAAGGAAGACCTTCGTGTGTCCCAGCTGGTAGTCCGCCCTTCCCAACACCTGCTGGCAGATCTTGGAGGTGGCGGCGCGGCAGTCGACCTGGCGAGATGAGAGGAACATTATGATACTCGTACTTATACTAATGATTTATATACATATATACATTTTCATATCTATGTCTCTCATCCTGCTTTCCATGACTGCAGTGTATTAGGCATGACAGGATTCTGATTACTGATTAATTCGCATGAATGTATGACTGCCTTGTTCAGAAAAAAAAATCACAAAATGAGTTTGACATCTCAATAAACTTATTCTATGCATATTTGTTGCTTCATCAGTTAAAAAGCCATGATTTATGAGTGTGAAATGAGGAGCCATCATCCCCCTTCACTTCTCTCTCTCATTCCTCTCATTTCCCACCTTGTGCGCGGGCGGGCATCCGGTAATGAGGAACCGGTATCTCTCCACGAACTCCCTGAACGTGTGCCGGATCGGGTAGCCGGCCCTTCGTATCCGGATGGTCTCCATCATGCCCGAGTAACGCAGCTGGCGGCAGCACAGCTCGCGGTCGAAGAGCTGCGGGTAAAGGAGGGGGGAGGGGGTGAGTGAAATGAGGTCCTAATTCTGTCTCTTTTTCTCGTATACTTACTAGCTATCTATCTGTCTGTCTCTTTCTCTCTCTCTCTCTCTCTCTCTCTCTCTCTCTCTCTCTCTCTCTCTCTCTCTCTCTCTCTCTCTCTCTCTCTCTCATTCTCTCCCTCTCTCATTCTCTCCCTCTCTCATTCTCTCCCTCTCTCATTCTCTCCCTCTCTCATTCTCTCCCTCTCTCATTCTCTCCCTCTCTCATTCTCTCCCTCTCTGTCCCCCACCATCCCCTCGACTCACCATGGGCTTCTTGAATTCGTTGGGCTTGATGCACCTGATGAAGAAGGGCTGGCAGGAGAGGAGCGTCTTCATCAGCGAATCCAACGACTTTTTGAACTGGGCGGACAGTGTGGGCGCTCGCTTGCGGGTCTCGGAGCCCATGCCTGCAGGGGGTGAAGGGGGGTGGTGATGAAATAAATGAATGTAACGATTATAATATATAATATAATCGTGGTTATTAAAGATTTTGGAATTGGTTGATTCTTAGTTGTGTTTTTTTTAGGTATGATTTTCGTTTTTGGGTTTGTAACTAATATATATATATTTCTTCTCATTTAATTATTCTTACATAAATGCAATGCGAAACGTTAATGGGGTGTTCGAGTGTATTTTTCTAGTCAAGACTGGCTTGTTGTGAATATGTGAAAGATTTAGTGAATAAACAATGCACATGAAAGTCATATATAAATACATTTCATTATAGATAAGTCTTGTATATTCTGTACCAAAAAGCACATTCAAGAAATACGGAATAAAATACATTACATTTCGGAATAAATTACATTATTTTAACAACATAATATAGCAACAAAATCGCCAACAAACATAAACAAACAACACCAAAATGATGCTTATAAATTGATGCGCTTACCTATGTCCTCCACGAAGAGATGTTGCAAGAACTTGTTGCTTGTGTGATGAATCAGCTGCAGAAGGTCAGCGCTGAATGTGTCTCGGTTTTTGTCCAGGAAGCCTTTGGGGAAGGGGAAAAAAGTCGGCGGTAATTTTAATTCGTGTGGCGTACAACTCGAATATTTTTTTGTGGGCTGTCTCACTTCTTCCCACTTCATCTCTTTTCTTTCCATTTCCTCCCTCTCCCTCTTTCTTTCTCTTCTCTCTCACCTCCTTCCCACTCCATCTTCCCATCCCTTCTTCTCCCTCTCATCCATTTTCCCTCCTTCCTCCTCCCTCCATCCCAGTCTCTCTCATCCCTCTCCTTCTCTTCCATCTCACTTCCTTCTCTTCTCTTCCATCTCTCCTCCTTTTCTTCCCTCTTCCCCCCACCCCTCCCCAACCCCTCTTTCAATTTCCCTTTTCTCCTTCTCCCTCTCCTTCTCTTCACTCTCCCTATCCCCCCATCCCTCTCCCTCCCCATCCCTTCCCTCTCCCTCTCCCTCTCTTCCCTCTCCCCCCATCCCTCTCCCTCTCCCTCTCCCCCCCATCCCTCTCCCTCTCTCCCGTCTCCCCCCATATCTCTTCCCTCTCCCCCCCTCACCTCTCGTATCGTAGAAGACGACGCCGGCGAAGTGATTGATGCCGAAGGAGGCGTTGAGATCGGACTTGGGCTTGAGGTACTGCTTGTGGTGCGAGTGCTGCTTGTGCAGTTTCTGGAGCATGGTTTGGTCTGTGCCCTGTGGGGGGAGGGGAGGGGGGAGCGGAGAAGAGGGGGGGATGGAGAGGAGGAAAAGGGAGAGGGAAATGGTGGAGAGGGAATGGAGAGGGGAAGGAGGGATGAAGGGGAAGGGGGGAAGGGGAAGAGAAGGGAGAAGGAAAGGGTGGAGAAGGTAAGGGGGGGAGAGAAGAAGGGAGAGGAAATGCGGAGAGGGAAAGGGTGTATAAGGGAAGGGGAGAAGGGAAAGGGAAGAGAAAAAATGGAGAGAAGACAAGGGGATATGGGAAAGGAGAGAGGGGGAGAGAAGGGAAGACAAAAGAGAAAGAGTAAAAGCGTAAGAAAAGGGAAAAGAGTGGAGAAAAGAAAGGGGGAAGAGGAAGAGATCTCTAGATTAATTGGACTCATACTGTGCAGCATTGAGCAGTATTTTCGACATCAGTATAAATGAAACGTAGAGCAGATTATTATTTCTTGAATATGACATTATAAGATGGTGTAAACCAAGCGATGACAAATATTCAAACCTAAATCTTACATCTACACACAAACAAAAGAAAAAAAACACATATAACTTCATTTCTATTCATCTTTTAACCATTGCATCTACGTGCTTACTATGAATGATGAATACGTAAATATGGATAGCTATTCATTCTATCACCCTATCTCACGTATCTCATTTATTCACACACTTATTTCTTCATCTCTCCATTTATTCCTCCCTTCCTTTCCCCTTTACCTCCGGGGACATTGATTCCTCGTCCGCCAGAGCCAAGATATTAAGCCACCTATCTCCTCATTCATTCACTCACCTACCTCCTAATTTATCTATCTCTCCATCTCCCCATTTATCCCTCCTTCCCTCCCTTCCTTCCCCCTTACCTTCGGGAACTTCGACTCCTCGTCCACCTATCTCATTCATTGATTCATTCACCTATCTCCTCATTTATCTACCTCTCCACCTCCCCATTCATCCCTCCCTTCCTTCCTTCCCTCCGTACCTTCGGGAACTTCGACTCCTCGTCCACCAGCGCCAAGATATCTCCTTGTTCATTCATTCATCTATCTCCTCATTTATCTACTTCTCCATCTTCTCATTTATCAAGCTCTCCACCTCCCCATTTATCCCTCCCCCCTTACCTTCGGAAACTTCGACTCCTCGTCCACCAGCGCCATGATATTAGACCACCTATCTCCTCATTCATTCATTCATTCACCTATCACCTCATTTATCAACTCCTCCACCTCCCCATTCATCCCTCCCTCCCTCCCTTCCCTCCCTCCCTCTCCCCTTACCTTCGGGATCTTGGACTCCTCGTCCACCAGAGCCAAGATATCTAATTGTTCATTCATTCACCTATATCCTCATTTATCAATCTATCCATCTCCCCATTTATCTACCTCTCCATCTCCCCATTCATCCCTCCCTCCCTTCCCTCCCTTCCCTCCCTCCCTTCCTCCCCTCCTTACCTTCGGGAACTTGGACTCCTCGTCCACCAGCGCCATGATGTTGAGCTGCTTGATGGCAATGAGGTCGAGTGTGTCCTGGTTGTCCACGAACTCGATGTGTTGCCAGTTGATGTTTTCCGCGTTGTATTCCTCCTGTTCCAGCTTGAAGATGTGTTGCACGAAGAACTGTTGCAGGTTCTCGTTCGCGTAGTTGATGCAGAACTGTTCGAAGCTGGAAGGGGGGGAAGGTGGGGAGAGGAGAGGGAGGAGGGGGAGAAGGGGGGAAAGGGGTGAGTATGAGAATTGGTAATTTTTTGGTGTTTTTGTTCGATGGGTGGGTTTGTATGTAAGGTGGAAGGGTGGTTCTGTTACGGGTTTTGTGAATGTATAAATCTTATTATCATTAGTATGATCATTTTCATTATAACGTTTCTATCATGATTTACTTTTATCTTTGTCATTACAAAACGATTACCATAGTGTCTACAAGCGTATGTACGTACGAATGTTCATACACATATGTGTGTGTGTGTGTGTGTGTGTGTGTGTGTGTGTGTGTGTGTGTGTGTGTGTGTGTGTGTGTGTGTGTGTGTGTGTGTGTGTGTGTGTGTGTGTGTGCATAGGTGAATGATATGACAAATCACACGCACATAACCCCCCTTTATTACCTATTGGACTTGAAGTTCTCGAAACCGAAGATATCGAGGACGCCAATGGACGTCCTGAAGGACGCCGCCTTCTTGTAGATGGCCGCGTTCACCTTGGACACGATCCAGATGAAGAGGCGGCCGTAGATGCCCTTCACGAACGCGTCGCGGACGTCCGTCGCCTGGCTGTGGCTCAGGTGCGACACCTGGCGGCCGGAGAATTCGTGACAGATTGTTTTTTTTTCATTTTATATGTCTAAAAGGAGGACGTCTATTTCTACGTCTCTGGCTTTGTCAAGGAGGCAAATGAGTTGGTTTCTTATTTCTTTCTTTAATTTGAAGATATCACTTGTATGATTTTAAATGCGCAGCTGATTGTTGATTAATTTTGTTTATCAAACAAAAGCGACAAAGGTTATAAAAGAAAAGAAAAGAAAAAAGAAAACGAAATGACCACATATGTTTATTTCCAGACGCTGTGCCACGTACCACGGTCTCTCCCTGCGCGAAGATGGTCCTGGTGGTGAGGGCCTCCTTCATGGCGCGCGGGTCGAGGCCGAGGAAGCGCGCCACGCGGACCAGCGACGTCGTGTCGGGGATCTCGGAGGCGTCCAGGTTGTCTGCAAAGGGCGCCGGGTTATTGCCGTCGAGTGTGATCTTTATTACTATAACTGTTGCTCTTATATACACACATTTGTATTTGTTATAATTTGTATTCATGTTTTATTTTATTACATATTTTAATTATTCTTTTACAGAAGCATGCGGGGCTTGTCATGAAAAGTAGCATTTTATATCGTTGTTATTAACAATTTCATGAGCATCTTCACCTACTTAATATCTTATTATCAACTGCTGTTATTAATTGAAAGCTATGTCCTTGTTAATATGTTTATCTCCTATTCCTATGACCTTCACCTCCGGCCCTTGTAAAGCCAACCCTGTGACCCCATGACCCCGTGACCCCCAAGACCTTACCTATGACCTTGCCCTTGAACTTGACGTTGCCCATGTGCAGGATGGCGGCGAGGACCTTGGTGATCTCCCACACCTCGGAGTCGCTGAACATGAGGACCTTCATGGCGGAGCGGATGTCGGCGAACTCACGGGCGTCGTCGCGGCCCTCGCACGTGATGCTGCCGCCCTGGGGGGGAGGGGGGGTAGATAAGTGGATAGATCGAGAGAGGGATTGGTGGGTATGTATCTGTATGTGGGTGTGTCTGTGTTAGTGTGAGTAGACTGACATACACGTACACATAATCCTCTCCCATCTGATAGTTCTAAATGTTTTCTCCTTCCCTTAACCCAACTGCTCCCTCTCCCCAACCCCTTCCCTCCCTCCGTCCCCCTCCTCTTCCCTTCCCTCCCTCCCCTCTCCCTCTCCCTCCTTCTCCCGTCCCCCGACCCCCTCCCCTCCCCCTTTCCTCCCCCCTCACTCACCCCCGTCAGATACTTGTACTGCGAGGCGTCCGCGAGCTCCAGCTTCTGCTTCTCCTCCCGCGTCATCCCGGCCAGCATGCAGTAGAAGATGTGGTAGTTCCTCTCGTCCGTGCCCTGCGACACCAGCCGCGACTTCTCCAGGAGGTACTGCTCGATGGAGGCGCCCTCGATCACGCCGTCCTTCGTGAAGTGGATGTCGATGTACTTGCCGAAGCGGGACGAGTTGTCGTTGCGGATGGTCTTGGCGTTGCCGAAGGCTGGGGGGGAGGGGGGGGAGTTAGTATGGAGATTAAGTAATTCGTTCGGAGAAAAATGGTAAGGAGAGAGAAGGGGAGAGAGAGGGGAAAAGGCTTGGCTGTGTGTGTGTGTGTGTGTGTGTGTGTGTGTGTGTGTGTGTGTGTGTGTGTGTGTGTGTGTGTGAGTGTGTGTGTGTGTGTGTGTGTGTGTGTGTGTGAGTGTGTGTGTTTGTGTGCGTGTGTCTGTATGTGTGTTTATATTTATGTATGTGTGTGTGTGTGTGTATATATATATATATATATATATATATATATATATATATATATATATATATAGAGAGAGAGAGAGAGAGAGAGAGAGAGAGAGAGAGAGAGGGAGAGAGAGAGAGAGATATATATATATATATATATATATATATATATATATATATATATATATATATATAAATATATATATATATATATATATATATATATATATATATATATATATATATATATATATATATATATATATATATATATATACGCTGTATATTACATGTACATATCCATCTAAAGAAGAGAAAGACCGTAAAATGATCACAAACTTAAAGTAATGAAGGATAACGTGGTTTACAATTCTTCAGATAAAAAAAATCCGATATCTCGCAAAATAATGCCAAGAAATAAAAGCATGAACAAGTGAAACGCAAGGTTACCTCGGCGCCGCTTATCTGTTATCTTCACAACAATTCTTAGAAATAAACGCAGTATCATAATGACTATCTAGAAGATAGATAGATAGACAGATAATTAGGCAGACTGATACATAGATGGATATATTGAGAGATATAGATCGGTAGATTGACAGACAGACAGACAGACATAGAGATGAGAGAGAGAGAGAGAGAGAGAGAGAGAGAGAGAGAGAGAGAGAGAGAGAGAGAGAGAGAGAGAGAGAGAGAGAGAGAGAGAGAGAGAGAGAGACAGAGAGAGACAGAGAGAGAGAGAGAGACAGAGAGGGAGAGAGAGAGAGAGAGAGAGAGAGAGAGAGAGAGAGAGAGAGAGAGAGAGAGAGAGGGAGGGAGGGAGGGAGGGAGGGAGGGAGGGAGAGAGAGAGAGAGAGAGAGAGAGAGAGAGAGAGAGAGAGAGAGAGAGAGAGAGAGAGAGAGAGAGAGAGAGAGGAAATGAAGGTTCTGTTCTGCCAGCAATCATACGTTAATATCAAATTGTAATCTGGAATCTAATCATCACGTGAACCAAACCGGAAGCAAGCTACGAATTACCCGACATATAGCCATTATTATAAAGAAAAAAATCCCATATTCTTTAGTCCAATTTATTCACCAATTATTTATTTTTTCTAATCCATTCACACGTCTATTTGCATACCAAACATTTTTTTTTGTTTCATCTAAACTACACTGACATTTTTATGATAGAAAATAAATTAATATTACTAGTATGCTATTTCATGCCAAAGGTACTACTATTTTTGTTACTGCTATTTATCTACCATGAACGTTTTTTTTCTGTTCATCGTCTATCGTAAATTATTATTTTCTTTGTTTTTCAAAATTTGTTAGTCGATCTATTAATATCATTCATTGAAATAAATTTTGTTTGCTGATTCCACATTCACTGTTATTGTCATATATCCTTTTACTCATTTTTTTCATCTAATTTCAGTTATTGGTCATTTATTCAATTCTTCCTAGCATCATCGTTAATTCTAATTCTTCTCTCCTTTCTTCCATGTTTCATCAACTATCCATCCTTTCTCTCAGTTCTCCCCAACTTCATTATTCGTTCTCTTCATTATATCCATCCTTCGTCAATCACTTTCTTCATTCTTCCATCTTTTATTGTTCACTCTCTCTCTCTCTCTTCTTTTGCCTTTCATCATTCATTCTCTATATTCCCCCCGTTCACCATTCATTCCTCTCTCTTCTTTCACCTCTTATTGCTCATTCCCTTTCTCGCTTCATCCTTCGCTCTCTTCCTTCTTCCATCTTTCATCACTTATTCCCTCCTTTCCCTCCTCTCTCCATCCTTCCCTTTCACTCTTAATTATTTATTCTATCCCTTATTCCCTATTTCATCACTCCTCCTTCCCTTCTTCCATCCTTCCATCCTTCGTCATTCATTCTCTCCAACTCTCATCACTCTCTCTCTCCCTCCCTTCAACCTTTCATCTTTTAATTTTCTCTCTTCTTCCATTTTTCATCGTTCACTCTCTCCCTTTTTCCACCCTTCATTACTCATTCTCTACTTTCTCCCTCCATCCCCTCCTTTTTATTTCCCTTCTTCCACCCTTCATCGCTCATTTTCTTCCTCCTCCCTCTTTCAAACCCATCCTCCCTCTCCTCCCTTCCCTCATTCTCTCCAACCTCCCTCCATTATCACCCTCTCCTCCCTTCCCTCATTCTCTCCCACCTCCTACTATCATCATCCTTTCCTCCCTTCCCTCATTCTCTCCCACCTCCCTCCATCATCCCTCATTCTCTCCCACCTCCCTCCATCCTCGCCCTCTCCTATCCACTCACCTTCGAGGATAGGGTTGGCCTCCAGGATCTGTTGCTCGATCCACGAATGCTTTCCGGAAATGGCTGCCAGATACTGCAGGATCAGCTTCGTGCTCTCCGTCTTCCCGGCTCCTGATTCTCCGCTGTGGGGGGGAAGTGTGGGTGTGGGGGGAAGTGTGAGTGGGTGGGGGGGAAGTGTGGGTGGGTGCGTGGGAATTGTGTGGGTGTGGGGTGATGTGGGGGGAAGTGTGGGTGTGGGTGGGAATTGTGTGGGTGTGGGGGGAGTGTGGGACGTGGGTAGGAGTGTGAGGGTTGTGGGTTGTGAGGGTGTGGTGGTGTGGGTGTGGATGTAGAGGTCGTGGGTGGGTGTGGGGTTGTGGGTGAGAGCGTGGGGTGTCAGGGTAGGGGTGGGGGTAGAAAGAAGAGGTGGACTTATTAATTTTATTACTGTCATTTATTTTTTGTTTCTTATATATACACATATATATATATATATATATTATATATATATATATATATATATATATATATATATATATATATATATAAATATATATATATATATATATATATATATATATATATATATATATATATATATATATATATATATATATATATATATATATATATATATATATATACATATAGTGTGTATATATCACTTTATTTCTATTTACAACATGATAATGACGAATATGTTCATATATTTATATTCTGCCTTTATAGTATCTTCCTATACATCCACACTCTACCTACGTACCTTCCCATCTATTCATACATCCTCTTATCAGTCTACTTACAGATTTCCCCCCATCTATTTACTATCAACTTATCGATGTATTTGCCCCACATTCCTTCTGAGTTGACTTCAGGCTAATTATTTGTCCAGCTTTCTACTAACATCTAATCCCGGGATTGCGACAGGATCGCTGATAAAAGCATTACATCATATCGTGATTAGTCACTGTTATCTTATATCTCTGATAGCAGTGTTGTTTGCAGGAGAGCATGATGTCTACCTGACACTTCAAGTGGATAAGTGCATGCAGGCTTATAAAAACGCGCGGGGTCTGGGCTTTAGACGAACGCCGGTGTTGATGTGTAGGTCTATGTGGATACACGTTGAATTATGCAGATGGGGTTTAATCTCCCTGTGTCTGCCTTTCTATCCGTCTCTTCTTTTCTGTCTTTGTCATTCTCTTATTTTTGAACTTTGCTGTCTTCTGTCTGTCTGTCCCTATCCCTCCCTTTCTTTACCCTCCCTTCATCCTTCCCCTCTCTCCATTCTTCTTTATTATCTCCCTCATTTTACCCCTCCTCCCTATCCTTCCCTATCTTTCCCTCCCCTCCCTTCCCTTCCTTTCCCTCCCCCCCTCCCTTCCCCCTCCCTTACCTCCCCTCCTACCCCCTTCCCTCCCAAACACCTACAACCCGTACCTGATAACAATGCACTGGTCCTGCTTGAAGCGCCTCATGTTGTTGTAGCAGCTGTCCCCGATGGCGAAGATGTGCGGGGGGAGTTCGCCGATCTTCTTGCCTCGGTACAGCTTGATTTGGTCCACCGTGTAGATAGGGAGGATCTGGTAGGGGTTCACGGCCACCAGGATGGAGCCCGTGTAGGTCTGCGGACGGAGGGGGTTTGGCGTTATAATGGTGGTTGTTTTCATCGTGATTAGCATCATCAGCTTTCTTATCCCTGTCTTTATCATTATTACTAACTATCATAATTATCATTATTATCATCATTATTATTATTATTGTTGTTATTATCATTATTATTATCATTATTATCATCACCATCATCATCATTATCATTATTGCTTGTATAATAATAGTTTGTCACTGAAATAGTCATTTTAACATCTAATAAAATGAAAAACATAAATGGTAAAGAATCGGACAAAAAATATCTCACATTTGCTCCAATAACTCTATTTACACCCCCTCCCCTACCCCCCATCCTCACCCTCTCATCCCCTCCCTTATTCCCCTGTTTTACCAACAGCCTTATACTCTTGCCCTAAATCCCTGCTTCCCCTTTCGTCCCTCATCTACACATCTACACACTTACTCCTTACTTCTTATCCCTTCTATCTACCCACCATTCACCCTCATTTTCCCCTCATACATAACTAGGCGTTTATCTCCATTCTCCCCTCACTCCTAGCTCACTCCTCTCCCTCCTTTTCCCCTCACTCCAAACCCATCATTTTCCCTTATTATCTCTTTATTCTTTCTATCATTCTCTCCCCCTCATTCTACTCTTTCACTCCTCTATCCTTTCCTTAGAACCCTCACATCCATTCCAACCCAACCTCCTCATACCCCATGTACCCCCATGCCCCAAAACCCACACACCCACTCCCTCACGCCCACTCCCCACGCACTCTTTCCTAGGCCCTCTCACCCACGCCCACCTACTTCCTCACAACTCCTTTCACCCCCACTCACATCCACTCCCACTCCCTCACAACCCTCTTTCACCCACACCCACCCACCACCACCTGCTTCCCACTCGCCACAACTTCCTCCCACCCACACCCACCCTTTCCCCACCCGCATCCGCTTCCTTCCTCCTTCTCTCCCTCACAATCCTCTCTCCCTCACACCCGCCCTCTCCCCGCCCGCGCCCACCCCCTTCCTCCCTCCCGGCCTACCCTCACTTACATAAATAAGATTCTCATTGTATCGAATCAGGAGGTTCCTGAGGATGCCGGCTTCGTGGAGGTCCCCCAAGCTGATCATGTCCTCGACGCCCTGCACCGACGTCGGGTGCATGGCCTTGATGCGCCGCTCCGGGGTCAGCCATTGCTCCTGGCGGGGGAAGGGCAGGTTAGTGGCGGCTGTGGTTGCTGCTCCTGGTGGGGGAGGGGAGGGGAGGGGAGGGGAGGGGAGAGGAGGGTCAACGGTAAGTTACATTGTGGTAGCTGTAGTTGTTGTTCCTGGTGGGGGGAAGAGGGGGGTGGTTGTGGTAGTTGAAGTTGTTGTTCCTGAAGTTATTGGTCTGATGACACAATGACTGGGGTAGACTATAGCAAGGGGTTCGCGGTGGTTGTGTTGCGGTAGTTGAAGTTGTTCCCGGGAGAGAGTCGGGATGATGACTCGTAGCGTTGTGGTTCTGCGAGTCATTGTTCCAGGTAGGAGGTTCGGATGATGGTTGTGGCTCTAACGATTGTGGTAGGGGACGGCATAGTTAGTGGTGATAACGTGATATGGGAACTATTGTTCCTGGAGGAGAGGGGAGAGTGGGGTTAGTGATGGTAATGTGGTAGTGTTTATTGTTCCTGTAATGAGTCAGTACGGTAGTCGTTAGAGTAATAATATTTTTCTGAAGATATAAAATGGCTAAATGGGGGAAGAGGCCTTAGTCGTTATTGCAACCGGCGGGGGAGGCTTCAAGGTAAAGACATCGCAGGAGTGTACAACTTGAGTAATTCTTAGTCACTGTTCTTGGCGGGTAAGAGTTGGGAGTAAAGATTATGATACAATGATACCAGGAGTTACTCCTTATGGCGGGTACGAGAAGGAGGATTTTGATGAAAATAAGACAGCGAAGTGATCCAGTGGCTGATTAAAGCAGACATGCAACTGGTCGAAAGAAAACCATTGCTCCTTGTGGCAATGAGTATGGTTCAGTGATAACGATGTACAGTGCTGATGAAAATGATATAGTGGAGATAACTTTACGAAGATAAGCTGTGTTGTGAGGGCACTGATAGACTCGAAGGTGATTTGAATTTCAATATCAAACTGAGATCGTTAATGGCAAAGGGGAGTCGGCGTATTCACCCAAATGGAATGAGGGAAGAGGTAAAAGAATCCTGATAATGAAGCTAAAATATGGTGATCGGAAGTGGCGCTCGTATGAGGGAAGAGGGGGGTGGGGGTGGTGTGGGGAGGGGAGGGTGTAGGCGCTTATAATGATGCCATAATCATGATGATTAGAAGTAACTGAGGGTAATCGGGAGTGAGTCACTGTTCCTGCTTTCCGATGACGGTGGCGGGGGGTGGGGGGTGATAGCATTGGTAATGGGGAATGTCCCGATGATAATGATAATGAGAAGATGGGCGGAGATAAAATCGTTCGTGTTGTGATGAAGGGGACTTTGGTGATGAAAATGTAGTGGTGTTAAAAAAAATAGGTAAAATGAAATGTCACCTGAAACAGTTTTTAAAAAAATGATCGAGTCTAAAATATTGAAATATTTATTAAATATTTTAAAATAATTTAATTGAAATATTTTTATCAAATATTTAAAAAATGGACATTACTTAAAAAAAATAGGAGTACCCTGAAACACCTGAATATATTTAACAAGAATTGAATACAGATGCAAATAACCCCCCCCCCCCCCAAAGAAAAAAAAAAAAAAAAAAAAAAAGATATAAAATAAAACCAATATCAAACAACAAAAACAACAACAACAGCAAAAAACTAAACCAGACTTACGTTCCCGTCGTCGTCCTGCACCTGAATGCGTCGTCCCTCGGCGCTCACGACCCTGGCGCCGATGGCCACGTCGAACTCGCGCCTCGACACCGGCTCGATCCATATGTAGTCGCCCTGAGGAGGAGGAGGAGAGGGGGGTTAGAAGGGGGATGTTTCGGCTGGGGTGTTGGGGGAGGGGAGGGGAGGGGGAGGGGGGAGTAAGGAGTGTGGGGGGGGGTAAAAGTGTGGGGGGAGGGGGTAAAAGTGTGGGGGGAGGGGGGTAAAAGTGTGGGGGAGGGGAGGGGGAGGAAGGTGTGTGGGGAGTGTGGGGGGTGAGGGAGGGTAAAAGTGTGGGATGGTGGGGGGAGTAGGGTGTTAGGGTGGGGATGTGTATGGGAGTGTGTGTGTGTGTGTGTGTGCGTGTGTGTATGTGTGTGTGTGTGTGTGTGTGTGTGTGTGTGTGTGTGTGTGTGTGTGTGTGTGTGTGTGTGTGTGTGTGTGTCCGTGCGTGCGCTTGTGCGTACATTGGTGTCTAATATATCATATATGCATGTAAACGTGTCTTCTGTGTCTGTTTCGTGTGTCTTATTTCTATATACGAAGCTATGATGGAGAGGAATATGTATGTATATATGTATGCATATATGCATGTATATGTATATATATATATATATATATATATATATATATATATATAGATAGATAGATAGATAGATAGATAGATAGATAGATAGATAGATAGATAGAGAGAGAGAGAGAGAGAGAGGAGAGAGAGAGAGAGAGAGAGAGAGAGAGAGAGAGAGAGAGAGAGAGAGAGAGAGAGAGAGAGAGAGAGAGAGAGAGAGAGAGAAATTAGCTTATTTAAAGTGTACATCACAAAGTAAAGCGTTTATTAGTGTAAATCGTAATAAGATAATAACATAAAACAGGTGAACGATAAGTGAAGAGTGCTTCTTGTAATTTCATCCAGACATTTCTCTCACTTCATTAAAAGTACGAATCCAAGAGGCTACCGTTCGAAACAGTTGAAACAATTGAACGAATACATCGGCCATTACGGTTCGAAACCTCCTAGCAATCTAAAAGAAGCACGGTCCCTTATCAGCTCATAAACGCAAAAAAGAAAGAAAAAAGTCCATCAAACTGATCGATGAGTGATTTAGGATGGAAAGAGTGTTATACCAGAACGGTGAGTCACAAGATCAGCTGACTGGGTTTTGCAATACATCGCCGGAGGCCAAGAACACTTGCATTCGGACAGGTTGGGTTATGGAGTGTGCAGGCCTAAACTGGTTTCTTGTGACTAGAAAGTGGTACACACACGTATGCGCTGAGATGCAAGTAAGCAATCGGATACCGACGAATGAATAGAGAAGAATGGAAAGAATAAGAAGCAGAAGAGGAAGCAGATCAAGATAAATATACAGACGCACACTCGTCGAAAGTAATGATGATGGCAACACCGTTAACTTCAGTTATAATGATACTTACATTGCCGATAAATAAATTACAAACCACAACATTACTTTTGTAATGATGAAGATGCATACACTGCTAAACCTGCATTACAGTGAAAAATAACAATGGAAAAGAATATCAAATCTCTTATATCACAAACTCGTTCAGAGAGCAAGACTAAACTAGACCTTTTCAGCCCAGATCAAGTTCGATTGCAAGTTATTTTTAGAGCATAAGAAATTCGAGATTACATAGAGCATTTGCGAGTTTTTTTCTTATTTCGGTAATGAAACAAGGAAATCATTTGTACTGAAAACAAATATACAGATACCAAACGCAATTTTACAGACGAGTGATATAGAATGTTTTGAAAGGGACCCACATTCAAAAATCTGATGATTATCTATCTTCCTGTGTATGGATATGTTAGTACTCGAAAAGGAAAAGATAAGAAAAAGTTTGACGAAATTTTGACTTTTTTTGATGATCATAAAGAACTCGAATCTACAGATCAATGATTCCCAACCAGTGGGCCTCAGAAGCCCTCCACTGGACCGCCGACAGCGTGCTGGGTCATGAAAGTAGTCTAATCATTACACAGATAAGCAAGACCTATTCTCGCTGTCTTCAACGAGGTGTGTGTGTATGTGTGTATATGTATGCCAAATCAAACCTTATTTGAGATTATCGTAACATTCAAGTGGGTCGAAAGAGTTGTTCGCATGGACTGAATATTTTTTTTTCCCTTTATACTAAAAAGAAAGACCGAAGGAGTTAAAGAAGAGTGCCACTGAAATATAGATCCTCCGAGCGGGACTCCAGCCTTCACACACCGCCTTTGAGGTCACGAAGTCCACGACGCTGCCTCCGACGCCTCCTTCGGCGTCCCCTCCGTCAGAGTCCGGCAGAGGAGGCTTCCACGTGCCGTCCTGAACGCCCCTCTCCAGGTCCACCACGACGTTGACGCCTCCGCCCGCCGTGTAGTGCCTGAAGGCGGGGTTCCTCGCCATTTCAAGTGTCTCGTAGATGTTGACTTTCTGTAGGACGGTGGAGGACGGGGGGGAGGTGGCGGAGGAACTGGAGGAAGAGGCAGGGGAAGGAGGAGGACAGGTTGAGGATGAGGAGGTCTTCTGGTGCTTCGAGGGGCTCTGGGGGGCGCGGCCCTTCCTCTGCTGTCCTTCTGACGCCTTCGCTTCTCCTTTTATTTCCTTTTCTTCCTTCTCTCTCGGGGCTGTCTGGTCGCCAGGTTTGTTCGTCTCGTCTTTGGTCTCTCCTTTATCCTTTCCTCCGCTTTTGTTTTCTTTCCCTTTATCTCTCTGGGAATCTCCGTTCCGTTTATCCTTGTTCTCTGTCTCTCCAGTTCTTTCGTTCTTAACTTTCCCTCCGTTTTGGATGCCACTCTCTTTTATCGTGTCCCTCGTGTCCGCCTCCCTCCTCTCGTTATTTCTGCCCTTTAAAGCCATCTGCAACCTGGCTTTCTTTGTATCGACGACAAAACCGTCTGGTTCGTACACTATGACGTCATCGCCATCAATGACGTCATCACCATCGAAGTGGTTATTTCCACCGTTCTTGCTTTCTTCTTTGTTCTTCATATTTCCCCAAACTTTCTTCCTCTCTTCCATTCCGTTTATCTGCTCCGCCTTCCTTCCCTTTTCGTTTCGTCCTCCGCTTCCGCTCCTGCTTCTTTTGCTCTTCTTATCTCCCCCTTTATTCCTCTCTTCCTCGCCTTCTCTCTCTTCTCCTCGCCACAGCTGCTGCCTCTCCTCGAAGCTCGTGATTTCGTGATCTCTCTCTCCGTTCATCGTGCTCTATCGAGAGTAAGGCGGCTCGATGGCTTGTTTGGCTACTTGTGCAATATTTTATGGCTATTTTCCCGCCGAGCGATGGCTACTTTGACGCTGAGTATTGGATTTCTTTGGCTATTTTTGAGGCTAATAGCTTTCGAACTAATTGTAATTCTATTGTTTTTGTTGTTTTATTTTTCCTGTCAGATTTCTCACTCTCTTTGCGCAGGAAGTGACAATGTCTGTGTAAAGTCTTTTCATTAAGTATTTCGGTCACATCTTGACCAAATTTTATTTCTAATTTCACGCAAATCGAATTCTCTTTCTTTTCCTGAAAAGTTCGATTTTTGAAAATCTATCAAAATCTAACTACAGGTGATCTCACTCACACGATCTCAAATGTAAACACATTTTGGTTCACTCTTATAACGCTTGGGCAAAGAGTAAGAAGGAAAAAAGGTAACAATAACACAGTAACAATGACCAAATGCAGAAATAAGTCATAGTTAAAGGAAAAGAAAAGCACACAACCTTCTCCCGTCACCATAAGCCTTCAGAAACCCCATATCCACTATACCGAACACCAAACTCATGTCCACATTTCCCTCCATACCCAGCCCCATCCCAGACGCCATAAACAGCACCATGTCGAACTCATGTCAGGCACCATAACTGCACAGCATCTGGCACCCTAGCTTAAAAATCTCACATAATCTTAATTACAGAGTATCCAAAACCACAAACTTTGTTATTAATCAGAGAAACCTAATTGCAGAAGATCCAAAACCATAGAGTTTAAAAATCTCGCATAATCTTAAATAAAAGATAAAAAAAAATCACAGAATCCTTATTGCAGATGATCCAAAACCATCAACTTTTTAAAAATCTCGCATAATCCTAAATCAAAGAATATCCAAAAAACACATTAAACGTTTTAAAACCTAAAACCACTAACTTTTAAAAAATCTCGCACAATACCCAAAGCTTCATTACAACCTGTCCCTTAACCCACCTCACACCACCACCCTCACCGTTCCTTCCAACCCCCCCCCTACACCCACTCCACCCACCTCCCCCTCCACCCCTGCGTCACCGGAAGCTGTGTGACGGAGCCCAGACGGAGCGTGACGGCAGGTGCTCCCGCCTAGCTATTTTATTGGCCCCTTCTTTCCTGCTTGCCTGTCCCCTGCCCTCCACCTCCCTGTTTATCACGCTCTCCCTCTCTGCCGCTTGTTTGTCTTTTGGTCCTTCCTTTCTCTCTGGCTGTCCTTCTCTTTCTTGTTTGGCTGTCGGCCCTTTCTTTCTCTCTCTCGCTTTGATTTTCCCTAATTGTTTATGCCTTTAGTTTTGTGTCTCTAACATGTTAATTACCCCTTTACTTCCATTTCCATGTTGAGGAAGAGAGAGAGAGAGAGAGAGAGAGAGAGAGAGAGAGAGAGAGAGAGAGAGAGAGAGAGAGAGAGAGAGAGAGAGAGAGAGAGAGAGACAGACAGACAGAGAGCTGCTTTCCCCAATCACTCACATTGCACTAACGACTTTCTTATCAAACTTCAAACGACCTTTAACGACCACCCCGAACAGATAATCCTCATTCACTAACGACCCACGAACTGCCTCTGTTAACGACCAGGCAATCTCGCTTCAGTTCCTGCTGTAATTAATCCATACTTGATTATCCAATTACACTTTATTGCCGCTTTAGTATTTTCTAAATCACTGTCCCTCCCTTTAATTAATTTATGGCTTAATCTAATTTAACCATTGAAGTCTTCTTCTGTGTTCGATTAAACAACTTTCGTGGGTTCGAGTCTTTCCACTGAATAAAGCAAACGCCATGTCTACGAAGGGGATGGTCCCTTACCCTCGTTGGAAATTATTATCAACTTCTCT